CTGTTCATTGAATTTCCCCAGAAAGTGATTCCGTATGCCACGATGGAATCGTAGCAAGCAAAATAAACTAATTTTAAAGTTTCTGTTTTCATGAGTGCTGCAATTGTCCTCGTAGCAAAACATGCCGAGCTTAGTTTTGGGATAATGTATTGAATATTTTTTCAGTCTAATTTGTTGTCAATTTGCAGGCCAATAAATTTAGTTTCTTCTATTTCGATTATTTTATCATCATACCCTATATTTAGATTTACACAAGTTCTGCTGTTACTTTAAAATTTCGTGAAATTTCTTTTGACAAAATTTAATGTGAGTTTATTGGCTTTAATCCACTTGTTCAATCTAGCAGAAATCATTTAAGAAGTAACCAGTAACCTATAATAATCTTATTTGAAGCTATTAATTTATGGCAAATCTGAACTAATACAAGGAACATCATAGAATCAAGCCACGACACACCAAAAGTCAACGTAGGAGAGCATTTAAAATCAAATTAATTACCTTATTTTCACCTGTTAATTTGAAACCGAAAATGTTTCCATACCCTTCGACGCTACTCTCAGCACAGAGCATACAATCGTCAATGTTATACGACAATAGTCAAACCAAAGCGAACATAAGAAACTGTGGAAGTATTCTCCTGCCATCTAGTCACCATTTTTACATAACACATAGATGTAGAGATCTCGGTAGATTGACGAGGTCTTTATCAAACAGTAGAAACTGATGCATGCTATAGGTATTAAAGTCACATAAATTGCATAGGCCGCATTTCTTAGCTGGCTTTTTCACTATATTGTTTTATTCACCACATGATTAAATGCGCAGGGAGGTACATTTTTCTCTACTTTGGGGGTTTTATTTTTGCATAAAGCATTTCACTTTGAGATATGAGCCCCCAACCAGGAAATAATATTAGAATTTTTTGTTTTCAGGAAAAGAAGCCAGATCCACTGAGAATACAAAAAAAAAGGTCATGGAAAAATTTAAGTAATTGAATTTATAACAAAGGAAAGGACAACTTTTCTGATGATTCTGTTGTCTTCCCACTCTTACATAGGTGAGAGTTATTGAAGCTTACTTCTTATAGAGATTGCTTTCATAGGGATATTTAACCATATAGTCTGGTATAAATTGATTAACATTTCTGAGGTGCTTACTGCCTCTGAAACGTCAGTGAATTTCTACCAGACTACATGATGCAACACTCAGGAAGGTAGCAAACTTCTTTATTTATCTCCATGACAGCCTGATATCTCATTTTGCTTCTTATGGTTCAAAGTAGGCTATGTAGTGCTGTGTTAAATAAAGAAAGATATTACTCACTTCAGCAAAGATCTTAGTGACAGAATGATCAGAGAAACATGTAGTGACATGATTTTGCTGTTAAGCTAACATACAGAAGTAAAGAGTGAGGAACAGAATTGTTATTTCTTATATTATTGAGGTCTGAAGGTTTTAAAACCCCGTCACAGTTGCATGGCACCTATAAGAAACTGTAAACTGTGACTGCTTATACACACTGCTACTAAAACTAAACTAAACCACATACGTAATGTGCAATTAGATAAATCAGCTGGTACCAGGAAATGCCTATGTTGAAGGTCTTCAAAAAAGTATTCACGTTAATTGCATTAATTACAGACATTACACACACACAGCAATTTGACATGCAGTCCGTCATAACAATCTCAAGTGAAAGTAGACAACGGAGTACTGAAAGCGATGAATTTGTTAAACTTCCCATTGAGGTAAGGATTCTCAACATCTGCAGTGGCATCTAATCAGTTATGCATAAGATTATGTATTTTATGATCTTGAATCTTTTATTGTGACGTGTGCTTTAATTTTTCATTTTAAAAGTTGAAGCTTATGTGGTCACCTCTTAAAAACATTCTACTAAAACAAATTGTTTTCATTGCCTTGTTGTATTTTAAATTGTTTTCATATTCCAGATTATAATATACATCCTGGCGTTCCTGCCTTTGTCAGACAGAATAAGTGCCGTGCAAGTGTACCATTTGTGACATATGGCATCAAAAGACCTCAAACTGCATAGCAATAGAGTAGTGGTATTGCAAGAGGACCTTACTAGACCACTACAAGTCTTCAAAAATAGTCTTGGAACATTTCTGCATTTTGTGTTCAAAAATGTAGACCTAGGAGGAAAATTAACCAAATTTTGGGATAGATTCTGTCCACAAATGCAGTCTCTTTCCATAAATAGTTGTGATATATCAGAAAAGACTTTCGTAGATATTTTATTAAAGTGCTCACATTTGGAAACTCTCGATATGAGTGCTTGTCCTGATCTTTTAAAGTCAGGAAGGGTTCTGGAGCAGAAATCTGATGTTAATCTGCTTAGTAACACTCTTGTCAAACTTAGGGAGCTAAAACTTGATTCAAATTCATATTTGTCAGATGCCCTTTTCAATAGATTTGTGGCAATTGCTTCCAATTTGGAAGATCTGTCATTGACAGGATGTCAGATCTGTTTCGATTTTGAGCTGTGTAAGAAATATTACCCTGGTGACATGTTAGAATCTGGATACACAATGGCATCAGAAAGAGTTCTGACATTCATTTAAGTGCAGAGATTACCCACAAGCAACCAGCTTTTCCCATATAGAATCGTAATCTTCGTAATGCACGGGATTACTTATGAGAAGCTTAAAAACTATCAAAATTCTTACAATTTTAAAATCATGAAATTGACTTCATTTCGACAGAACGGGGTGTACTAAAATTGTTACATCTTTCGAAATTACAAATGTTTTTAAAAAAACAAAGTTAATTTGTATTATTTCGTTAGGCTGTGTTGGCAATATTCGGGTTGTATACAGAGTGAATCTAAAGTGTGTTCACAAATTTTGTGTGCGTGTTCCTGGATCACAAATAAGAAAAATGTTCCTGTGAACATGCGGTCACAAATGCTTCTTTTTCGAAATAATAGCCAAAAATAAGTTTCAATGTATGCCTTTATTGTCAAGTATAAGTACAGATATATTTCTTTTTAACAGATGCTCAAAAGTTTCTCCTCCTTTCTCCACACATGCATAAGCACGACGGATTCGTTTGCACACACCAGGGTTTTCTCGAGTCATCTGGCATGCTTTCTGCACACGTTCCCAGAGGTCGTCTTCATTGTTTATGGGTGTTGCATAAGCGACGAACTTCAAGTGACCCCACAGATAAAAGTCCAATGGAGTCAGGTCCGGTGACCTCGGTGGCCATGCTACTGGGCCACCACGCCCAATCCATCGCTGAGGGTGCTTTTCATTGAGATAACATCTGACGGGATGGGAGAAGTGTGCTGGGGCTGTGTCGTGCATAAACCACATTTGTCTTCTTGTACATCTTCAAGGAGACGTGGCAAGTGTCTTACTAAGAATCGCCGATATGAAGGTCCTCTTAGACGCGATGGACCAATAAGCATGTCGCCAGGAGTTACTGCCCAACGTTAATTGAAAATCTTTGCTGGAAGCTGGATTCACTTTGATATAAAATCAATTCATTGAAACTTATTTTAGGCTATTATTTCGAAAATGAGACATTTGCGACCCCATGTTCATAGGAACATTTTCCTTATTTTGTATCCTGGAACACGCACACGAAGTTTGTAAACATACTTCTGACTCACTCTGTATATGTATGCAGGGTACAATCGGGTAGCGCCCAGTGGAATCCACGTTGTTTATTTACGGACAGACTTCGTTTTGTACACGTCCGTTCACCTGTACTCAGATTTCGGCAGACTCTTGCTGGTCTGGGCACGTGAGATCGGTCAGTGATACTCAGGGTCGAAGATGTGTTGACCGTTTTCGATTGGGTCTGACTCGCCTGGAAAGGCTGCGATTACGAAGTTTCGTCATGTTCGTTCCGGTTTCAACAGGCATGGACGGTCTTATTTTTAGCAATCAGAATTATAACAGTCCCTCCCGAGCAACCACTCAAACAAATTCCCAAAGTTTCTTTTTATTCAAAACGTTGTTATCCATCAACACGTAGCAGATTCAATTCGGATGAATATAAAATTGTTCACAAAATTCATGTTGCTTGAAAAGTACCAACGCGAAGTCGTGTAACATTTACTTCAAATGACGTAATGCCGATTTTACACGATCAGAATCCCAGTGTTTAACAATTCTCTAGAAACACGGAGACGGTGGTGATGCTCTGAAAATGGCGTTTTAACCCATAAGATGCCGTCTCAAGTGGACTGAATTTGCCCACCCAACCACAAAGACAACTAAAAGTGTCTCCATAGCAACGATCAGCTGGTTAATGCTATTCAGGGAAGCGATCGCCGTTTGCTCTGCACGATTAGGGCTCGCGTCTTCAAATGCCGGACTCCTGGCTAGAAGTCAGCACGCACTAGGAAGGTCCTGCGACCGGCCTACTTCATCAAGGTTTTCCGTGGTTTTCCTCGGTTCTATGGCAACCAAATTCAACTTATTTAGCCCTCACAGCGCTAATATCAAAATTCAAAATTGTGCTCAAACACAGAGACCCTTACTATCACCCCTTTTCCACTTCCAAATGCCTTCTTCTTACAAAACATATTTCTACCTGAAGGACAAGCGGGCACTGCCTGGGGTCCTTCGTTTTCTCAAATCAAAATTAATGCCACACCCCACTTTCTCTTAGTTGGTTTTTCCCAAATTATTAAGAAACAAAATGAAGAGTTCAAAACTTCAAAATCCCGATTCTGTCTCAAACTGCTGTTTCTTGCCATTCTCCTGTTCGCCTTCGTTGAACCTTCTTCAGGATCTGCCAAGATTTTAATATAAACACAACTGATACTAGGATACTGGGAACGACCCGTTCTTCAAGTGCCTGAGCTCTGAGGGTCCCAACTTTTTGTTGGCTTCGATCTACAGACATTTTGGTAGGACTCCTTGGACGAGGGATCGGCCCCCCGCAAGGCCTGTACCTGTACACAGGACAACACAACACAGAAAAACGCGGACAGACATCCATGGCTTGAGTGGGATTCGAACCCACGGTCCCAGTGGCACAAGGCCCACGCCTCAGACCGCGCGGCCACTGCGGACCCCATCAAGCGAATAACTCGAAAATGAATAAACAGATTTCGATCAAGTTAAATATTGAAGAATTTTACCAAAACAAATGTGCAGACACTTCAATATTCATTTGGATCGGGCAATTTTAATGGCCTCTCTACATCATTACTACAGTTGCATAAATAATTTGTTACTCCTATCTAAATAAATATTTTTAAAAAGTTTCATACATGGGTTAAAATTAGCATAGACAACATTCACCTCATCATTAATTCCAAGGACACCTACAACAAACACTAACACTTTCAGCTCATTCTACGCGAATCAAATGCGCTAATTAATTGAGATCACAATTAATGATACAAAAGAAAATCTCGATTTAGTCCAAACTGCGTTCCAATCAGATATGTTTTTGTACTGCTACTCAGTGCTCTGTTGCAATACGACTTTGCACCATATATTAACGCTTAAAAGTCCAATGGTTACTACCTGTCCCACCTGATTCAACAATTAATAACTCGTTATTTTGCATGCAAGAATTTCGTATAATTCTCACTATAAACAGCGATTATTTTCTTAAACATTGTTAACCTGTTTATCTTTGTTGTGGAGAAGTATGTTTTATTTGCGGTACGGACTGAAATCTTAAATATTTAGACGATCTTCGGCTTCAAAGCTTTAAATAAGTCATACAGGCTTTTGGCACATTAAACGTTTTTAGGTTACAAACTGATCCTACAGTATAGTCGGCGCAGTAGTTTTTGGCCGGTGGAATTTTCAAGGGGAAGGCTAGGAGCGAGTCTCTTGTGCGATAGTATAATGCTGACTGCACCGAGGAGCTTGTCGGACTGAACGCCCAAACAAAAGAAATACGCTGACCGTGCCACCTCAGGTACACAGACTAGGCCCGTCCGCCAGCTCCGTTAGATTCTCCACCGGCCAGAAACTATTGCGCCGACTATAACGTATCTCGCTTCTGTTAAGTCTTTATCGCAAACGAAGTAGAACGTAATAAAATTAATGTTCGTTGTCAATTCTAACGTAGTGAAGCTCAGTATTGTATTTAAATTAACTGCTGTGAAGCGTAAGGGTATTGTGAGATTAAACAATACTGCAAATGGCGAAAGTCGATATACGTGGTTCGAATATCGACCGATGTTCTGATCGAAATCTGTTGCGGTTTTCCAACAGTTCTTCTGTTCCAGGATTCCAACATTTTTGTTATATTAGAGCAACGCGCTCCTTTCGGAGCGCTTTCTCTAAAATAAAAAATCGATCACAAAGTCAGTTTTCGTAATCGTGATATATCGAATGAGTAGTATGACTTGAATGAGTAGTATTATTAGTATCAGTTTACCTTGTTGGTGTTGGTACTTCAAATAGTTGATAACGTCTTTTTTCACTTTTCTTCATT